CTGGGCGGAAGAGGAAGTGAGGTCAGACTCTGCTCTGCTCCCGGAGAGACCTGACAGCTCTGCGCTCTGGAGCAGAGACACCATGATGGAAGGAGGCTAGAATCTTCCCGGTAAGCGCACCTTGGGTAAGCTTACACACATCATTAGAAATGGGCTAGTCCAGGTGCGAGAATTAGCCTGTAAGGGCTAGAATTCAGGGGCCAAGCAGTTCTCAAATGAATACAGTTTGTGTGTTGTTATTTCGGGCATGAGCTAGCCAAGCGGCCGGGGTGTTGGGGACGCAGCCCCGCCGCCGCTTCTTATTTCAACACATGTTCCTGACTATTGCAACAGCCACACCCTATGTAATTAGAGTAGTTGATTGTCTTCTCTCTCAGTTTTGAAATCATCAGGACTGCAACTGTATTTCTTCTCTTGAGATTGATTTTTAGGGCCTGACTTAAAAATAAATGTTTAATGAATCATCTAGAGAACAAAAAGACACATCCTGATACCGAGTCACCACTTCTGCACAGTGGTAGGGGCCCCTGGAATGAGAGGTCTTTCTGCTGAGATTGATAGGAAGCTGGGAAGCCTCCAGGTTGAGTACAAGGTTCATGTTGCCTTCATTGATACATATAGGAAAGTGATCTGGGTTGAAAAACATAGGGACTGTAAAAAACACTCATTCTACGGTATGTTGGGAAGACCTCAGGGCCAAGGCCACTGTCATGGGGAGTGGGGATGGTATCTCTGGGTTGAATAAGAAATTTATCAGAGAGAAAGTATGGTAAGAGAGAGGATTGGTGGGCCATTTGAACCTGTGAAGGGTGAAGAGGATTGAATCAGAGAAGGTGGAGAAGTAAAAATTCATAGCTCCATCACATAATCAGGCACATAGAGACAATTAGAAAAAGGTGATCAGATTCAGCAGTTAGATGCCACTGATGACCTGTATCCTTTGCCTTGGAGCCAGCTAAGAGTGCTGCTGGTGCTCAGAACATGTGTGCTCATGGGATCCACAGATACTCACAGAACCATCCTGGGGGCCTTTGAGATTTTTCTCTGCTGTCCACCCCCATTCAGCTGAAGCCACTTGATATGGCAGCAGAACTTAATGCAGAAAGTGGCTACCATGAGCTCCATGTCTGTCTGGACCACCATGTACTTCACTCCTGTCTGGGACACTGGGTGTACTATATCCATTGGGGAAAGTACATTTGTTTCTTGATAATTTTGCATCACCTGTGTCAGGAGTTCTTCATCCTGAATCTCATAAAGACAATGGAGTAAACCCAGAGAATATGGTTGATGGCACAGGGTTTCCTCTAGGATATACCATTGTAGGTCCAACTTTGTCTTCAAAGGCAACCTGCAGGCAAAGATCTTCTCCATTTCTCTCATTCCATTTTCACTTAAAAGACCAAATAGGAAGCGCACAGTGGGTGCCTCAAACAGGTCATATCTTCCATAGATGTTCTTCAGCCTTTCCATAGTTCCATAGATTCCCATATAATCATGTCTCTTCTCATTACAATGCAAGATCAATGACATTGCTGCAAAAAACTCCTGGAGACACAAGTGGGCAAAGCTGTAACTCAGAGATCCGGGCTGCTTTTGAAGGATACCAATCTTCAGGAAAGTGACAATGGCATTGCTACCTAACATTTGGATCCAGAGATCCCTCTCACTGAACAGGGTCCTTCTTTGGTAGATCCCCTTAGCAGCCAGTGAGCAGAGCCTTCTGAGCTGGTTCCCCAGACCATGACCTGAGAGAGCCTGGGAAAGGTATTCCAGGCAGAGCTCTGTGGTGGTCTGTGAGGTCAGTGAGAGGTCTTCTCCCCGATCCATCTGCTGCTTCAGGCAGGTGCAGACCAGCCAGGACACCCAGGGCACCACACACAGTGTTGAAATCACTGGTTTTGATTTAACCAAGCCGAAAGCTGTAATTGCTTCTCTTTCCTCTGTGAAATATTTGTGAATATATCTCTTCCGTCCAGCTTTGGAGAAACCCAGGACTTCTACCAAACAAGGCTGCCTGAAAGAAGGAATAAGCTTCTTCAGATCTGTGGTCCGAGCTGTGAGCAGCAAGTAAGCCCCAGGCAGGACAGATTTTCCCAGCAAACTGCCCAGCAGGGTGTGGACTGGCTGTGGCTGGCTCCAGTGCAGACAGAGCTCAGGATTCTCCTCCTTCAAGACCCATTTAGGCTCATCTATGCCATCTAGGATGAAGAGCAGCTTCTCAGGGTGAGACAAGATTTGCCTGATGGGAGTTGTGGGCACAGTCTGGTCTTGTGCTATGAGCTCAGCCAGACTCAGCTGCTTGCACTGTGCCAGCTCTCTGCAGCTGAAGTAGAAGACATGCTGGAAGCGATCTCTGTAGAGCTGGCCTTCCTCCCATGCTCTCCTCACCTTCCTGGCCAGTGTTGACTTCCCAGTCCCAGCCGCCCCCTCTAATACAACAAGTTGAGGCTCTTCCTGGGTATCTGGGTCTGGGTCAAATAATTCTTGGATTTCAATCAGATGTCTTCTCTTTCCTTCTTTACTTTTATGCAAGCTTTTCCCCTTCAAGGTCTTCCAGCCTCTTGAGCAAGGTTTTGGTAGAAGTAGTAGCTGAATGAAATTTTGCAGGATATTCTCTGTTTTCCAGGACTTAGTGTGGTAAAGATTCTCCTTTCCTTTATGCTGATGTGTTTCTGAAGTGAATCACAAATTAGGAAAGAAAGATGGAGCATAAATAAATACATTAGAGTTGTTTGATTTTGATTAGTTCTTTCCTTTCTCTTTTCCTTTCACCCTTCAACACCTGGATGAATTTAGGCATCTGTCTAAACTGTACAGAAGACTGACTGTGGGTGCTGGGATATTCTTAAAGTGCAGTACAAAGAATGTGAGCTTTAGAGTAGAAGAATCTAGTTCAAATCTTTACTTGATTAATAATAATAGTGGTGTATGATGTTTATTCACACTTCAGATATTTATTGTTGTATTACTCTGTGCCACATCTGCTCTAGTGGTTGAAATTAAAGAGTGAGTTTACAGACACAGCTTTGTTCTCTTTGTTTATGGGATAATCTCCTAGCTCCACTGAGCTTCTGCTTTCTCATCTGTAATTTGGGGCTGTGGTCTTTCCATGTAGGAGGCCATGGAATACTGGAGAAAGCTATAGACATTAAAGTAACTGTCTGCTTCTGAGAGATCCCATTGGTCTCCACCATTTCAATCCTGGCAACATCATTCTGTAAGTTCTGAGATTCTAGGTCTGAAGGGATGGTCTTGGGATGCCATAGAATTGATGTCTCAGGACATAGACTTGTCCACTCTCCCCAGTGGCCTGAAAGCCCCAGACATATTTTGTACTGCTTCCAGATATCATTGATTACAACAAGCCTTGATTGTGGCTACTGTTTGGATGTCTTTTGTCCCCACAGAAACTCAGGTTGAAACTAACGTTGAAACTCCAGTTGTCAGTATAACAGCAAGTGGACAAGGGTCTGGTGTGAGTGTTTGGAGTCTTGGGGGCGGGCCCCTTATTAATTGATTAGTACTTTTCTTCTAGGAATGGTAAGCTGCTGTGGGTAGGAGTTCCCTTTCTCTCTTGGAGGCACCCACTTGCCTGTATACTTTTTTCTTAAGCAGAGCAGTCATAGTCTCCAGTCTTTGACTTATGGACTCCAGAACTGTAATTAAATATACAACTTCTAAAAACAAACAAAAAATTCAAAAACCTAACCAAGCAACCAACCAACCAACCAAACAAAAAGCTGCTGAGCGCCATGGTGTACTCCCATAGTTCATCACTCAGTAAACAGAGGCAGGGGTCAAGAACTCATGGCCAGCTTTTCCTAATGGTAATTTTGGAAACCTCCTGGGCTATAATCATTCAGTCAATCAATCCATCCATCAATCAAACAATCAATCAACAAGAATAACAATAGTTACCCAGACTCCGTTCCTTGTCAATGGAAAACAAACTAACATACTTGCTTTCAATTTAACCTGGTCCATCATTAGCCACAGCACAATTGGTTGGTTTCTTCCTCCTGCCCTACCCCTTTCCTCCAACAAGTGCATCTGAGGACTCTTCTCTCCAGGTTTGGATCTGCACACAAAGCTTATCTCAGCATCTACTTTGGAAGGCGATCACGATAAGAGAAATAGGAGGATGCCCCATGAACCAGAATCCAAGCTCATTCCTCAGCACCTCTGGTTGCCCAAAGTACAAGGCATCTACTTGTCCTATCTTAGACAAGGTGCTGGAGAAAACTTCAGAGGAGCACAGAACATAGCATCAGTTCACACAATGAGCTCTTGAAAAACTGGCTTCAGCCAACTTGCATCTGAAATGGGATCTATAGATCTGTTCTCATTGTCTTCAGTAGGACAACATCTACTATCTTCTGAGTGCAGCACGCTGACCTCTCATGTCTATGGCCAAGATATACCTGGGTCAGGCCATTTCTTCCAAAGGTGCCAAGAGAGGGCTCAACTTTTCCTAGGCTGTGCTCTCCAAGACCTTTCAGCTGTGATGTATCTATTATTGTAGGACCCAGCCATGACAAGCTCGTGAGAGACCTGAGTCTCAAGGACCACAACTGAGACCACCCATGTACCACCCAGAAACAGACCACCCAAAGGAAATTCCTAATGTTCCAACCATTGTAGACAGGATTACCTGTTAGAACACATCCATCACTTTTCACCCTAACCTATGTTACTATAAAATCACCACCCCAACTGAGCTTGGGGCTCTCTGATCGTGCCAATGCGTTGGGTACATGGGGAGTCCGAGAGTCCCTGTAAGAACTTGAATAAGAACAAAGGCTCTTTGCTTTTACATATGGGATTCAGTCTCCTTGTTTTTTGGGGGGACTCTGTGAATCTGGTCATAACATTTTGGGGCTCTCCAGGATCTCAAAGCCCACTGGGACCACCACTTTGTAGAACCTTCAGCCAGCTGTTAAGTTTTCTGTATCTATGTTTTGTCTTTCTGTTTTGGATATTCTTCTGTAAGTAGGCCCAGAATCTGTATGAGTGTGTAGATAGTCTGAGTAGACACACTTGAGAACACCACAGACAGGGTACCTGAGAAGATTTTCCAGGGTATATTATTGATCCCTCTTGTTAATTTTGGGTCCCAGGACTCTTCTGTATGAGATCAAATCTCTTTGGTTTCTGTAAAAGAAAGGAGCAGGTTGCACCTGCATTTTGGCAAGGAGTTGGCATCTTTAGTTCCTTTTGCCTCCAGGCACCAGGAGGCCTTTGTATCGCCTTGTGAGCTGTTTTGGTTTTTTGTTTTGGTCTTTTGTCCATTCTCCTTCTGACTTACAAGAGTGATGTAATGGGACAGACTCAAATTACGACTTTTTTTTTTTGCTTTGATACTAGGTCATTTACATGACTTTAGAGATAGGGCCATAAGCATAAATTTTGAGATTTTAAAAGGTGGGTATATTTTCCTAAAAGGCATAGAACAACCTCTACCACCTTGATCATTTCATTGGAATGAGGCAGTCTTGTCCCATAGCCCAGGGTCAATGTGGGCAGCCATACAAGCAGGAGGCTGCAGGGCAGCATGATTGTGTGGGTGGGGCAGCTGGGCTATGCAGCCTTGTAAAAATTTAGCAAGGTGGCCAGCCACAACTTGCAAGCAACAGGTATGCATAAAAATGATTTAAAACACTTGGATTGTTTTTGATACTGCAGGAAGACATTTAAGAGATTTTAATTTTGTAATTTTGTTAAGAACAGTTTTTAAAATATTTCTAATGGTGAGATTGTCCTTCAGGGTTTCTGCTTCATGAAAGACTCTGCCAGACATTATGCAGAACACAGAAGAAAGTGACTGACAAACTGCTAATATAGGCAGAATTGTCTTTGAAATTTTTTGCTTCGTGGAAAAGCAAAAAGCCTGGGATATTATGATCCTGTAGGCTAAAGATGGATGCTGCAAAGATACAGAAGAACTTTGGGTGACTGTCCATGCAGTGAGATGTCTCTGTCAGTTCTAGAGTTTTTGATGCTGCTTACAATGCACTCTCTGCTTGCTTATGTAATATTATATCCTTCTGGAGTCTTTGATGGAGTTGAAGAATAAATAGATACTATAGTTATAGTTTTCCTTAGTTATTATAAAAATATTGTAACTATAATTCTTGTTTGATACTTCTCTTGTTATATGTAATTTTACTATGTTAAAGTTAAAACATTCCTTTTTATTTAAACAGAAAAGAGGAAATGGTGTAGGAGGTCCTTCTGTCTTTGTGTTGCTTTTATTCGTTAGTGAGTAAAGAAACTGCTTTCAGCCAATAGCAGAGCAGGGCATAACAGAGTTAGGTGGGAAAAACTAAACTGAATGCTGAGAGGAAGAGGATGGAGTAAGAGAGAAGTCATGTAGCCCCACTGGAGACAGATGCTAGAACTTTACCCAGTAAGCCACTGCCTCGTGGCAATACACAGATTAATAGAAGCGGGTCAAATTAAGATGTAAGAGTTATCAAATGAGAAGCTAGAGCTAATGGGCCAAGCAGTGTTTTAATTAGTATAGTTTCTGTGTGATTATTTTGGGAGTTTGGGCAGCTGAGAAACAAATAAATGACCTCTTATACAACATCCATCTGCCAGATTTCATTACTTTGAGTACTCTTTGGGTTACTCCCTACAGGAAGTGGTGTTTGGTTATAGAAAGAGCAATTAGGACATCTCTTTATAATCTCCTTAGCTTGCTGCCCTGTAATAGAAAACTCTTTAAGTCTTTGCTATTAACATGATGTTTCTTATGAAATCTTGAGGCCTTCAACCAATAATTAGTCAATTTCTACATTACCTGGAGCTAGAGTACCTGGCTGATGGAGGTGGGTTATTTGTCTATCTGTTGCTTTCATTGGTTAATTAATAAAGAAGCTGCTTGGCCTTTGATAGGACAGAAAATTAGGTAGGCGGAGTAGACAGAACAGAATGCTGGGAAGAAGAGAAGTGAAGCAGAGTCACCATAGCTCTCCTCTCCAAGATGGATGCAGGTTAAGATCTTACCAGTAAGCCACTACCTTGTGGTGCTACACAGATTATTAGATATGGGTTAATCAAGATGTGAGAGTTAGCTAGTATGAAGATAGAGCTAATGGGCCAAGCAGTGTTTAAAAGAATATAGTTTCTGTGTAATTATTTCCAGGGCTAAGCTAGCTGTATGGGAGCCGGGTGGCACATAGCCCGCTGCACCATTAACAGAGTGGCTGCCCAATGTGGTAACTAAACCCACTTAAAAACCTTAGAAGGCGTAAAAAATAAAAAAAAGGGAGAGAGAGTTTAACACAGCTTTTTGCTCTTTGTGGGTGGCTTGCCACAAAGAAATTTTTCTGACTCTGCAACAGGAAAAAACTGGCTGTTTTAAAATGCCGGCTTTCTTGGCTGTGCCACCATCACAATCTGTCTGGCTCTTGTGGGAGACAGAGCTTTTGAATGGAGCATTTGGAGTAAAGTGCTACGGCTTGCTTGATGGCAATGTGGACTGCTGTGTGCCTGGAACTGTGTGTGGCTCAGGGACACCAAATGGCTCTGAGGCAAGAGTGGCTCAGCTCTGCCATGCTGAACTGTGCTGGCCTCAGGCAGGAACTATGGTAATTACTGTAATAACAGTGTAGTTAAGGTTTAGACTGGGCAGGACACAGGCGGTACCATATTACCGCTACATGGTGCA